TGCCTGTTCTCTTCAGCCTCCGGGTTGAAATTTTATTTTATATTTTAATAATAAGGCTTCCGTTTAATAAAAATAGCGGACAGTCAACTTAAAACGTTCGTTGATGCGTGTCGTTCCCGAGGTGGCCCTTAGAGGGCAGAGGTTGCTCTCTTTCCCTCCGCTCGGCTCGCCCGGCGCCCGTCGTGGGGCGAGGCTCCTGGTTCTCTTCTGCGCCTGCGCCCGTTCCGCGCGGCGTTTTGCGACACAGCCGTGCGGCGCCTCGGGGACGGGGCTTTCCGGCGGAGCGGCGAGGCGGGTGCGGCGGCGGCGGCGGCGGCGGAGGCGATGCTGCTGACGGTGTTCTGCCTGCGGCGGGACCGCTCCGAGCTGACCTTCTCGCTGCAGGTGGACGCCGACTTCGAGCTCCAGAACTTCCGGGCCCTCTGCGCCCTCGAGTCCGGCGTCCCCGCCTCCGAGAGCCAGGTCGGTCGGTCGGTCGGTGGGTCGGGGTCCCCTGCCCCCCCCCCCCCCCCCCCGGGGGAGGGGGGGGGGTCGCCCTGGGGATCGGGCGCCGCCCCGTGGGGAGCCCTGCGCGGGCCCGTTGGCGGGGAGGGGGCGAGCCGGGCTGGCTCCGCAGCGCCCGTGGCCGCCTCCCTCCCCCTCCTGCAGCTGCGCCCCCCCCCGCCCGGTCTTCCCCCCGCGGCTGGGCAGGGGTCCCGATGCCCACCCCCGATACCGGTGGGGGTCGCTTATATGGAGGGGGCTGGTCTCTTCCCACCCCGCAGCTGGGCAGGGATCCTAATGCCTTTGGATGGGGAAGCGTTTGGTGGGCTGGCTGGTTCCCCTCCCCCCTCGCAGGTGGGCAGGGGTCCCTATGCCCTCGGATATTGGGGGTGGGGCATTTTGTGCCTGAGTAGGGGTCCCCATGCCCTCGGATACCCGGGGGGGGTCGCCTCATGGGGTGAGTGGTCTCACCCTCTTCCCCTCCCCCCCGCAGGTGGGCAGGGGTCCCCATGCCCTCGGATATTGGGGGGGGCATTTTGTGAGGTGGCTGTTCCCCCCCCCCCCCCGGTTGGGTGGGGCCCCAATGCCATTGGGGGGGGGGGGGTTTTGTGGGGGGGCTGGGCTCCCCCCCCCCCCCCCTCACAGCTGGGCAGGGGTCCCAAAGCCCCTTAGGTTGGGAGGGGTGCTTTTGGGGGGGGGGTCACCCTGGAGCCTTCTTGCAATAGGAAATGGGGTCAGTGGCAGGGAGCTCTCTGGCTGCGGAACAAGCTGGCCAGTTGCCAGGGTTGAGAGTCCGTCTCTGCGGATGGCCCATCTTCCCGCTGGCTGCCCCTTCATCTTTTGGGGTCCTGTGGTCGTCTGCCTTCCTGCCCCTCCCGGCCCGTCTCTTCTGAGGGTGCCCTGAGACTCTGCAGGGTCCGATCTGGGGTCGGCCACTGGGACCAGAGGGGGTTTTGCCTCCCCGTTCCTCAGATGGGCTCCAGAGTCCGAAAGCTCAGAAGATGCAACCTCTGGACTTGGTGACCAATCCAGATTGAATCCCACAACATCGTCCTGGGACACGTAGATTCATTCGTGGTTGCTTCGTCTGTACCCAGACCGGGCACTGCCTGCCTAGTTTCCTTGGGGGGGGGGGGGGGGGCACTTGCAGAAGGCGCCAGGGTGCCTGATTTGAACTGGGTTCCCGGTTCTTTCCGCGGCCTGTCTCTCGTCTTTAGATCCCTCCCAATTGGGCAAAGCTTTGCGGTGCCCCCTGCAGCCACTTTGGGCACCCAAATCCTCTCCTGATATTCTGATCCCTCCTTCAGGAGCAGAGGATCCAGTTCCTGACCTAACCGGCCAGCCCACAATCTTTTGTACCGGTCGGTTGGCTTGCAGGCATCCGCGGCGGCACCGCTGGCAGTGTGGGTTGGAGGCGTCTTCCCTGGCGCTCTTTCAGGCAGTGCTTTCTGCCAGATCCGCGCAGTGTCTCCGGGGCCCCAGCGGGATCCACTTCCTGCCACTGTCGGGAAACGTTTCTGGGAGTCGTTTTAACCCGAGTTAGATCACCTCAGGGGGAACTTTTGTGGAAGATGGCAGGACCAGGGAGGGCGGAAGGCAGTTGCGTTTAGACTAAAAGTAAGGTTGGGTCAGACCGTGAGATCATTAAGAGCTGGAATATTGGAGCTGTAAAATAAGTGTTTTTTCCAGTCGTTCCAAGCTACAACGTGATTTGTATTTGATGCTTTTGGGGGGGAAAAAAATCTCTCCAGGAAGGGGGTCAAGTCCGGGATGGGCTCGCCGAGAGGAAACGACCGCTGCCTCGGCCCAGTTTGGCTGGGCTGCTTTTGTCCGGTGGCTTCGGTGCTTCAGGCAGGGCTGCCTTTCTAGGCTGGATAGCTCTGGGGTCCGAGGCTGGCCTGACCCCCGGTGACCCAGTGGGGCCGCTTCCTTTTGAACGGCTGACGGTGCCTCTTCCGCTCAGATCATCTTCGCCGAGCAGCCGCTCACCGACAACCACCGGTCGTTGGCATCGTATGGCCTGAAGGACGGAGATGTGGTGATCCTGCAGCAAGTAGAGAATGGGCAGGCACAGTCCCAGGCCCCCTTTCCTGGTAAGAGACCCCCCCCCCTACATCCCCCTCTATTGGCCTGGCCAGCCCCGGGCAGAGCCCCCCCCCCCCCGCCCCACTTTCTGTCTTGTTTAATCTGCCGGCAACCGCAACTTTGGTAGCTCCTCGGGGTTGCAACCGGTCAAAGTTTTTTAGAAAGCGGGGAAGATTCCCCTTCCTCCCCGGAGCTTAAGGCAGCTCCCCAAAATTGTTTAATCCTTGAGGGTTGATTTCCCACCCACCCCCCACCCCCTCTGGAATTCCGTGCAGAAAAAAAATGTGGATTTCACAGGAATAGGGGGCGGGAACGCAGGAGCAGAACGCAAGGCGCATTCAGAGTCGTCATATAAACGCACCGCCCCCTCCCTCCGTTTCGTCCCAGAGCAGCCTGGATGATGCCTTTATCCTACCTGGAGGTCACAGTGGGGGGGGTGGGGGGGTCACCTTTTCCAAATTCCGGGGAGCCGACGCAGCGTCGGAGGAGGGGAACGGCCTTCTTACCTCACCGGCCCATCTCAAGCCCGGTGTGGACGGATGCGCCAAGTTCGAAATCTTGCAAGGTGTGCCTCTCTTTTCTGCAAGGCTGTAGAGGCTGATTGGCTGTTGTCTTCTTCTCTCACCCCCCCACCCCCCCACCCCCCAATCGCAAATAGGAATGCCCAGGATAGATTTCAGCAGCATCGCCGTGCCGGGGACGTCAACCCAGTTCTCCCAGGCTGTACAGCCGCCTCCCCCGGTCCCGGTCCCGGCCCCACCAGCTCCCTCACAGGCCCCGGCCCCGCCAGCCCTTCCCGACCCGCCGTCCATCCCTCAGGGCCTGGACAACCCTGCCCTCCTGCGAGCCATGTTGCTGGCGAACCCCCACGAGCTGTCCTTGCTGAAGGAACGCAACCCGCCTCTGGCCGAGGCGCTCCTCAGCGGAGACCTGGGTGAGTCCTGCTGGAAGGGGGTGTGGGAAGGAAGGGTGGGTGGAGGAGGAACGGGGGGGGATGAGTCTGCCTACCGAGATGAGGTGGACCGGTTGTTTTCGTGGTGTGGAGACAACAACTTGGTCCTCAACACCAATAAGACCAAGGAGCTTAGACTGGACTATAGAAGGAACAGATCAGACATCTTATCAACGGAGACCGAGTGGAGCAAGTGGCCAGTTTTCTGGGTGTTACCCTAAAAGAGGACCTGACCTGGGAGGCTCACATTGCAGCCCTGGTCAAAAGGGCCCAGCAGAGATTAGACTACCTGAGACTTCTCAGAAAACAACAACGGAATGAAAAACTGCTGGTGACCTTCTACCGCAGCTCCATAGAAAGTATCTTAACTTATTGCACCTGTGTATGGTTTGCCAATTGCACAACGGCAGATAGGAAAGCACTCCAGAGGGTTAATGTCATTGCCTAGAAGATCCTGGGTTGTCCTCTACCCTCTTTGGAAGAGCTTTATAGCTCCCGCTGCCTTAAGAAAGTTCAAAACATTCTCAAAGATCCATCTCATCCTGGGCACCTTTTTTCTTTTTTTGGAACTATTACCATCTGGCAGACGGTACAGGATAATAAAAACGAGGACAAATAGGCTGAAAAGCATCTTCTATCCCAGGGCAGGAGCTCTGTTGAATTCTATAGTACCCTGAAAAGGGGGTTTAATTTCGTTGTACGATGTGCCGTGATAATTAAGCTAAACTAAACCGCCCTACGGCTTTCACAAACCCACCCGCCCCGTGTTTTGTGTCCCAGAGAAATTCACTCAAGTCCTGGTGGAGCAGCAGCAGGACCGGGTGCGCCGGGAGCAGGAGAGGATACGCCTCTTTTCCGCCGACCCTTTTGACCTGGAAGCTCAGGCCAAGATCGAGGAGGACATTAGGTTAGCGGGCTGGCGGGGAGGGAGCGGTGGGCTGGGGTCTGGAGGGTAGCCGGCCCCAAGGAGGCCTCTGACCAGCTTTGGCGTTCTGTCTCCCAGGCAGCAGAACATCGAGGAGAACATGACCATCGCAATGGAAGAGGCTCCTGAGAGCTTTGGCCAGGTGGTGATGCTGTACATCAACTGCAAGGTCAACGGCCACCCCGTGAAGGCCTTCGTGGACTCAGGTGGGACTGCTTCCCCCCCATTTCCTCTCCCTTTCCCGCCACCTGGGCGTGGCTGGCCCACGCTTGCGGGGTGGGGGATCTAAGGGAGGCCAGTGGCGGGACAACGCCAGACGGGGAGGACGGCGGGGCTGAGGTTCCCTTTGGGGTGTGGGGCCTTTCCAATGCGGCGTGGCCTCTTGGCAGGTGCCCAGATGACCATCATGAGCCAGGCGTGTGCTGAGCGTTGCAACATCATGCGACTGGTGGACCGACGCTGGGCCGGCATCGCCCGGGGCGTGGGCACCCAGCGCATCATTGGCAGGGTGCACCTGGGTAGGTGTCTGGGGAGGAGGCCGCCGGCAACGCCCTCCCACCACGGGGGCTGGCTTCTGGGCGGGAGGAACGCCTACCCGCCTTGTTTTCTGCCGCAGCTCAGGTGCAGATTGAAGGGGATTTCCTCCCGTGCTCCTTCTCCATCCTGGAGGAGCAGCCCATGGACATGCTGCTGGGCCTGGACATGCTGAAGAGGCACCAGGTGAGTGGCGGCGGGCACCTGAGGCTGGCAGGAGGGGCCCCTCCCTCGCAGGCAGGAGCGTCGTGGTTCGCCGGCAGCCTGCGCAGACGGCAACGGAATCAGACAGTGAGGAAGAGCAGGGACCAGTCCGGGAGTCTGGGGAGGACTCGGACGAGGGTCCTGCGCGCGATGCAGAGATGGGGCCAGGGCCATCTGGGAGTGGGGTGCTGACTCCGGAGCCTCTGCACCCTCCGGAGTCTGGCAGCAGCGAGGCAGAGGAACCAGGGGAGCCTGTTCCCAGGGCGCGCATGCGCAGAGCTGCTAGAAGGCAAGAGAAGCTGAGACAAAAGGGGAGACTGGGGAATGAGACTTGGAGGTGATTGCCTTTCGCGTAAAGTATAAAGGAAGTGCAAAGGTAGAGACACCTTTGCAGGAAGCAAAGTCATTTGTTCAGTTCAGATTAATCCTTGAAGCTCTGTGCAAGCTTTATACTTTAGTTAGTTTTTTAGAGTTCATTGAGCGCTTTAGTTGTTAGCAGCAATTCAAAGGAGAGAAAGGTGGGTGCTTATCTCGAGAAACTAGGACTCATTACAGGCTGGGAATGCGCATAATTCCCAGCGTTGAAATAAAACGAGTGTTGTTTTAACTAAGCCTGTGCTTAATTACGGTCTCGGGAAGCCTTGGTCAGAACAAGGAGGTCCCCTTCTTGGCTTTTTGTGGGCAGCTTCCCTCCCTCCCTCCCTCCCCAGTGCTCCATCGACCTGAAGAACAACATGTTGGTGATCGGCACCACCGGCTCGCAGACGGCCTTTCTGCCCGAGGGCGAGCTTCCTGAGTGCGCCAAGCTGGCTTACGGGCCGGGCCGGGAGGACATGCGACCCGACGAGCTGGCCGATCAAGAGCTGGCCGAAGCCCTTCAGAAGTCTGCCGAGGAAGCAGGTAGGCGGGTAAAGGGCCGGGAGGAAGCAGCCCCGGGCCGGCTCCTGGCAAGGAGGGTCGGGGGCCCTGGCCAGAGAGGGGGTAGTTTTGCTCTTTTGAGTTCGAATGGACTTCAGGCTGGCGTTGTGGTGCTGAAATTTGGGGGGGTGGGGGGGGAAACACTTTTGGTTCTTAATCTGGAAGGAGCGTCCAGGAAAAGTCGGGCCTTGTGGGGGCGGGGGGCAGATCGATGGGGCTGCAACAGAGGAAACTCCCACGGCCTTTTTTTGGGGTGGGACCGCCAAGAATTTCGGCCTCCTTCGGGAGCTATTAAGCAGAGGTTTTAACATTGCCCTCCCATTACCCCAGTTATCCAAAGTAGGAAACCTTTAGGTGAGTAATTTTAATTCCCTTCAACCGATGTTGCATCTCCGGCGGTCATCCTCAGCGGCGCCTAGGACGAAAACGCGCGCTCTCTGACCTCGTGCAGAGTTTCTTTTCCAGTCGAACGCGTAGGCTTCGCTTTCTCTAAGGCCGCTCTTCTATTCCGTGCGCGCCCCCCCACTTGCCCTGGGGCAGCTCTCTCGAGGGTGAGGCCACCCTTTCTCCGGGCCTTGATGTCCTATAGCAGGGGGGGTCTCCCACCTTGGCCACTTCAAGAGGTGTGGACTTCCAACTCCCAGGATTCTCCAGCCAGTTTGGACTTCCAACTCCCAGGATTCTCCAGCCAGTTAGGACTTCAACTCCCAGAATTCTCCAGCCAGCATAACTGGCTGGAGAATTCTGGGAGTTGAAGTCCACACGTCTCAAAGTAGCCAAGGTGGGAGACCCCTTGCTTTAGACTTCCTGTTGCTGTGACTGGCTGAGGAACTCTGGGAGTTGAAGTCCACCAGTCTTAAAGTGACCAAGGTGGGAGACCCCTGTCCTATAAGGACTTGTGGACTCAGAGGGGGCTTGTTGGGGGGCGGCCCCCCTCCCCCCCCCCCCCCCCCCCCAGCTCCCAGAAGCAGAGACAGACCTAGCATCAGGCAGCGAAAGTAACTCGGTCTGGTTTTTTTTGGTGGTGGGGGTAGACATCCTTCATCCCCCCTTTTCTTTTGGCCCCGTTAAGTTACAGGTGGATTGGTGCAAGATGGCCGCCTCAGATATCAGCGCCAGAAATCCAGGCGAAGAAAGCGCCGCCCCTCCTCCAGCCCCTCAGCTCACCCCCTTTGCACCCTCTTATAGCAGCTCTGCTCCCCGTCCCCCTGCCCCCCCCTCCCCCCCCCCAGAGAAAAAATGCTTTGTGGTCAGTCTCAAGTGCTTTGTATCCTTATCTCCTGGCATTAAAAGAACTCTCCCTTAAGACATCCAGCTTAGCGTTGAGTTTTACTTAGGCACCGAGCAGTCCCCAGACCCACCCACCCCCCTCGGAATGCCCTTTGCCCTCTGACATCACTTCCTGCATCCCCGTTGCCGGCTGGCCAGGCCTGGCTACTTCCTGATAGAGCTCTCTGTCCCCACGGGAGGCTCTGGGACCCACGAGTCCTTCTCGGCCCCGTCCCTCAGCCGCTGTCCTTTGCCGTGGGTTGCAGAAGCTGTGTCTTCTTCTTCGCGGGGCTGCAGCGTCCCCCTTTTGTCCCAAAACGTCTGCTAAGGACCGGGATGAGCGTAGGCCTGGTGAGGAGAGCAAGCATCCCAGTCTGCGGAGGAACAGAAGAGAGAGAGAGAGAGAGAGAGAGAGAAAGAGAGAAAAGAGAAAGACAGACAGAGAGAAAGAGAAAGCCGTGGGCCTCCTTCGGGGGCGAAGTTCCATTGTGCCTTGGATCTGGAGGGCACTGTGACGGAGACGGACGGAGAACGGAGGAATCGGCGGGCATAAGCCTCGCTGGCTCTCCACCTGTCCCGACAGCCAGCTCAAAGGACAGGAAGCGGAAAGAGCTCCTGAGAAAGTCCAGGGAAGAGAGGACAGGACAGGACAGTCACCCAAGATCAGGAGAGAAGAGAGTTTCCTGCCGGAGGCCTTGGGGAGGGGGTCGCAGCAGGGCCTGAGCTAAGGCACCCGAGGCCTAGCTGGCGTTGAAGGATGATCCGGGACAAGAAATGCTGCAGAGTCCCGTCCCGTCCCCGCCATCCGGGCAAGGCCAGGGGGGCTCCGGTGTTCCCCATCAGGAAAGGCGGGCAGGAAGAGGAGGAGGAGGAGGAAGTGCCGCAGCCGTCAGACAGACAGACAGACAGCCGCCGCCACCAAGAGGAGTCAGCGTTGTAGTTGAGCCTAGAGCCAGGAAGGAGGAGGAGAGCCAGTGGCCGCTGACAGAGGAGAACTTTGGAAGACTTTGGACCAGGAGCGGTTGGGCGGAGGGAGGGCAGGAAGGGCCGGTGTCAGGGCCACCGCGGTGCATGTGGCGTCGGCTAATCCACGTTTGGTGTGTTTGTCTCCTAATCCAAACAGAATGCCAGAAGCCTAGATGCATGTAATGTGGTTTTGCTGCCGCTGGAGAGGGCCACACACCAGGTACTGCCAAGCGCTTCCTCCCCTCTCGTGGCTCCTGCAAGGGGGGGGGGGGGAGGGGGCCGGCGACCTGGAATCCGGGACCGGTGAGGGGGGGTGCAGAGGAGGACTCGAGCAGCAGCGAGCTCGTCAGGACGCTCCTGGGCCGCAAAGCTCGTCCTTGCCGAAACAATGGCAGCAGAGGGGGGCCGCCGCATGGCACACAGCGGTGTCGATCCTACGGCTTGGCAGCCGGATTGCTCGGCCGGACCTCTGCGGTCCCAAGCGGCGTTTCTGGCTTTCTTCTCCCCCCGCTCCTGTCCCTCGGAGAGCGGTGCCCGTTTCTTCGCTGAGCACGACTTTGGCTAATGCATGCGGGGCATCTAGCACGAGAGGAGCTTGGCTTGCGCTAACCCGATGGGGCCCCACCCTCACCTGGAAACCTGGCAGAGCAATTTTCTTCTGGCCTCTTGCAAGGCGGGGAGGGGCCTCCGCCAACGGGGTTGTGGTTTCTTCTGCCCGTCCTGGGAAGCCAGGAAGTGGCCATTGCGGCCGGTTTAAGATCTTTTTAAGTGCGGTGAAATTGAAGGGGGGCAGGGGTTGCCCTTGACGGATGCATGGTTTGATGCTGGCTTGTAGATGTTTGGCCTGCCTGCCTGGCCCCGAAAGGGGTGAGGGGGGGAAGTGGGGGAAGGAGCCTGCTTGGGGATAGGTTGGAGGGGGGCAGAAGAGCCATTCCTGCTTGCACCCCCTTGTGAAGGGAGCAGGCCGGAGAGCGTTTCTTCCTGTCCCCCTTGTTGGTTGCTCCTTTTGGGGGGGGGGTTCCCCGTTTCCCCAGCCATCTTTGGGGATTCTCATTTCTCCCTTTCTTCTTCTCTCCTCTTGTGTGCGCAGAGAATAGAGATACAGAAACTACCTCACTCGAAGCTCCGTCGCAACCGACTCCGGACAGCTTTAAACTTCCGGTTTGTTTTCCAGAACTTGGTCTGAAGATCGCCGACAGTCCCGCAAGCCGATCGCTCGATCGCTCAGCCTCCGATCCGGCCGTCTGCTCTCCCCTCAGTAGCCGGAAAGAGCCCGAATGTCCCAGAGCGGCTGGGAAATCCCTGGATTCTCTGCTGGGGCCCTGGGGAGGGTCAGGGGGCAAGGAGCCCCCGGCCTCCCCACTGAAGCTGGGGGGCTCAACGACCCCCCAAAAGGTACATGCTGCTTCCAGCTGCCTGCCGGAGGAGGCCGCTCCTGGCCGCCAGCCTCAGGAGGTGGCGGGAGAAAACAGCCCATCCCAAGAGATGACCGAGCCCGACGCCCCCCTGCGGCTAGAGCCCACAGAGCTTCCTCCGGATTTCCGGAGGGACAGCAGGACCCCCGGGGAGGAGCCCCCTTTGGGGGAATGGAGGGAGCCTCAGTGCGTGGGGGACGTTTCCTCACCGCTGGCCGCTGCCGTTGAGGAAGAGGAGATTTCCCGAGGGGCCGGAGAGAGGCCGGAGGGGAGCCCAGCCCAGCCGCCAGGAGATGACCGCTTGCTTGAAGGCCCCCCTGCCCCAGAGGCTTCGGACCCACACCTCCTCGAGTCCGCCGACGTGAGCCCCCCAGGCCCCGGGACGGAGCTGGGCTTGCACAAATGCCGCAGCCTTCCCCTGCCCCTCAGTCTCCCCACGGCGAGTGGCTCGACCCCGCCTGGGAATGCCGCCGCTAGCCGGCCCAAGGATCAAGAGGAAGAGGCGGGCATCTCCCTCGCCTCGGCCCTGAAGGAGCTGCACCGGCTCCTGGTGGTGAGTTCTAGGCACGGCTTCCGAAGAGAGGGCGCTCAGCAGGCAGAGAGCTGCCCCTCGCGGGAGGCTCCTCCGGAAGAGTCCGCTGCGGCCGAGGAGGCCTTGCCCTCCCGAGAGCAGCAAGCGAGGCAGGACCCGGCCCTCTCCCGCCCAGCCCCCTGCTTGGAGGCCGGGATAGAGATGCTGGAGGAGCCCCGCTTAGCTGGCGGGCAGCAGGAAGTTGCTCAGGGGGCCTCCGGCTGCGGCGACGCTGTCCCGGCAAGTCCTTTGGTGGCCTGGCCTCCACCGCAGGCCGAGGAGTGCCTGAGAAATCCGGCCCAGCTCTTACTACCCTCTGGGCAGCACCCTGGCTGCGCTGCGGTGGGGCAGAGCTCACTCACCTCGCTTGGCCCTCCCGACTCCTGGGCAGACCAGGGCAGCGGCAGCCCTTCCCCGGAGGAAGGGGGAGACTCCAGCGAGCACCCTGAGGCCGAGCCAGAGCCCTCGTCCTTCCCCGGGGCTTTGGAGCCCCGATCTCCTCCGGCCCTCACCTCAAACCTCGATCAGATTGTGGGGGCTGGCTTTACACCCCAAGAAGCTGGAGAAGCTCTGGAGCATGCGGGGGGCAACGCCGACCTGGCCCTGCTGATCTTACTAGCCAGGAACATCGTGGTTCCCACGTAGCCGAGGTTGCCTTTCTTGGAAGAGTCTCTGTCCGTCCGTCCGTCCGTCCTGTCCCCCGGTGGCTGGGTTTGATCCAGCTGTACCTTTTTAAAATTTTGTTGTATTTTAAGAGAGCGGAGAAAAGAAAAAAAAAAAACAGCCCTTCTTTTCAACCAGGACCATCCCCCTATTTTCCCCTGGTTGAATTTGGGGCCGTTTTAAAGAAGCAACTATTATTGGCATCCGTATGGAATCCTGAGATTGACGGTTGCTAATCCTCCTCGGCTACGTTTTCGGAATAAACTTCGTATTTAAAACGTATGGGGTTTCTGTAGAACGATATGCAAACGTAGGGCTTAGAAAGTGTAGACCCGGCTCCGAGGGGTTGGGGTGCTTACCTTGGCGGAGTGCCAGGAGCAGGGATGGTGCCTGGCACCCCCCTTTTCTGGCCCCCGCCGGGGACGCTGCGTGCCAGCCGTGTGGCTGGGGCTCCTTTTCTGCTTTAGCTTGCAGCCGTGGGGTGAAAATTGGTCGTTCCCCCCCCCCCCCAGGCAGAGCCCTCCAAGGGGGCAGCGCTTTGGGGGTATCGTGTGGGGTATAGCTGCAGCTGCTGGGTCAGCCCCTCAGGCTGGTCCCAAGGGGCCCTGGGTGTGTGTGTGTGTGTGCGCGCATTCTGGCCCTTTTGGAATACGGTGGTGGGTTGGCACAACGCCGCGGGTCTTGGTGTGGTGATAGCAGAGCTTAGGTCAGAGAGGAGGTTGATGGAAGAGCTCTGGGGGTTTTTCCAGTTTTTCTTTGGGGGAGGTTAGGGGAGGGGGCTGCTCGCTGGGAGCTTCCCTTAACAAGCCTTCAGCATTGGGGGGATTTGAATTGCAAGGCGGGGAATTAGTAGCTGCTGATCGTTTTCCGCCCCGTAAAGGGGGCAGGCCATGCCTTTGGCGCAGGGGCCTCCAAACTTGGCCACTTGTGGACTTTCAACTCCCAGAATTCTCCAGCCCGTTGGACTTCAACTCGTAAGCTCGCATCTTATAAGCATAAGCTGGCTGGAGAATTCTGGGAGTTGAAGTCCGCAAAAGCCTTAAAAGCCGCCACGTTTGGAGACTTCTGCTTTGGCGAGATTCGATGGCGTTTGAAGTTAAGAAAAGGCGGGGAAGGGGCTTCTGAATTTTCTCTGCCGCTTGAGAAATCTTGGGGAGGGGGGGGACACACCTCCCCGTAATTCAGCACGAAGGGAGAGTTTTGAAATGGGTGGGTGGGCGGGCGCACAAGCGACGTTTCTTTTGATTTGACAAATGTTGGCTCTCGGCTAGGATTGCCGGTTTCAGACGGCCGGGGTGGGGAGACCCTCCCCCCACCTCTTTCTACGGGAAGGTAGCGGGGGTCTCCGCATGGCCAGAGCTCCCTTGGTCAGCTGCCCCAGAAGGGGCCTGCCTCTCTGGACACGGGTGCAGAAGCAGGACTAAACCTTTGCAAACGGGGCAGGAGAATCCTGGAAGGCCAGCCGAGGGGGTGATGCTTTGGAAAGACACCTTTGGGTGACTTTGGAAGGCGGCACTTCCTGGCAGAGAGTGGGTGATACTGGCACCGTGGTGACAGCCTGCCAAAGCACTGGCCTGTCGTACTGGCCCTGCGTATAATTCACGGGAGGGCCGGTCTGGAATCTTGCTCCCTCCTCGTAGGCCAAACGAAGGCCTGGGTCACCGGTTAGCCACCCCTCGAGTCGGGTGCCACACGCAACGGCTCGGGGGGGGGGGGAAGGGGTGGGCCCTCTCAGGAATCTGCCTGCCACGTTACCGGGCTGCCCTTCTTCACCCTTGTCTCGGCCCGCTGGGTCGACCGTTCTCTTTGCCCACGAACGGTCGCCATCTTGGGAGCTCGCCTCTTCCTTTTTACCAAAAAAAAACCCAATAAAGTAAAATCAGGACGTCTTTGGCTGAGAGGTGCGGGGCGGTTTGCTTCTCAACTGGGAGAAAACCTGTAAACGTTTTGGATTTTAAAAAAATAAAAGATGTGTTTTCTCATTGCCGTTGTCCGGTTTTATTTATTGATCGATTTGTTTTTTTACGGGAGCCACTCTGGCCAAATCGGAAGGTTGCCAGGGTCAAAGAAAGCCGGGCATTTGACGGGGCAACCGAGGGGGGAAAACGGAAGGCAGCGATTGTGTGCCGGCGGTGTCCCTTTTCTGGGGGTAAACATTAAGGACGCCGCTGTAGCTTCGCCTCGCCTCGCTTTGCCGATTTCTTTCCCCAGCCGGGCATCGATGCCACGTCCAAGCGAGGCGTCCATCCCAGCAGGCTGGCTCCGTGCAATGCGGTCGATGGTTCTCAGTGCTCTCTGCTTGTTGCCACCGGCCAGAAAAACCAGCCCTTCCACCCGCTGCTGGCGCGACAGGTTTTGGAAGCGCCCGCAGCGTCTTCTCCCTTCCCCCAAGCTGGCAAGGAACTGGTAGCTCCTGGGTTGCCTGGCTGGTCTTGCCGAGGCTGGGTGGGCGTGCGCGGCGACGCCTCTTCCTTCTTGTGGCTTCTTTGACTTATCAGGCCTGACCGGTTCAACAGGTGAAGCCTTGGAAAGTGTCCAAGGTGGGGTGGAGAAGGAGGCGGCGGCGGCCTAGGCCAGCTTTTGCACAGGGGTGGCAGAAGTACGAAATAACAGAAGGGACTTTGGAGGTCTTCTAGTCCAACCCGCCCTGCTCAAGGAGGAGACCCTAGTCCATTTCAGACAAATGGCCGTCCAATCTCTTTTTAACATATATCTTTATTACACATTTTCCAAACATTTACACCACATTTCCATTTTTGACAGTAGGTCAGAGTCAGCTTGTTTTCTATTTACATTGTAACACCTTTATTTTCATTTTCAATTCCTAGTAAATTTCTCTACTGTTTATCCAATTATATTTACATTTCTGTAATTTCTTATATATACATTTCCTGCAATTTTTAAATAATTTTAGGAATATTTTCTCCTCTAGCCTCTCATACCATGCATCCCAAATCTTATAATGTTCCGTTTCCGTCAAGAACTTTTTAAATCATCATTACCTTTTTGAGGGATATTTATCTGTTTCCACTATTGTGCGAAATCTCTTCTTAAAAGCCTCCAGTGATGGAAGCGCCCACAACTTCTAGTGGCCAGAAGTTCCACTGGTTAACTGTCCTCCCCGTCAGGAAATTTCTCCTTATTTCTAGGTTTCCATCCTTATGGCTCCTTGTCCTGCTTCCAGGTGGCTTTGGAGAAGAGCTTGACTCCTTGTCCTTACCTCTTGCTGCAGAGGACCCGTGGTGGTGGTGGTGGGGTCTCCCTCGCAGGGCTGTTTTTTCTGAAGCTATTCATCGGGAGAAAATGGGCGGGTGCCCGAACTACAACTCCCGGGATGCCTCGCTCCCGCGGGGGCCGCCGGCAGTTGCGGCGCCTGGCCGCGCCCGCCGCCAACAGTCCTCACGCGCGGGCGGCGACTACATCTCCCGGCCTGCCTCGCGCGGTCACGAGGAGGCGGGGGGGGCGAGAGGAGGAGGAGGCGGCGGCGGCGGCCGCGGTGTTGAGGGGTCGGCTCGTTCGCCCTCCTGAGGCGACCCTCGCCGCCCCGGCAGCGCCACCACGGAGGGCCCACGGCGGAGGCGGAGGCGACGGAGGCGGCTCCGGAGCCCCGAAGAGGACGGGGCCGCCGCCATGGAGTCCCCCGCGCAGCTGAAGGACCGCATCCTGGAGAACATCTCGCTCTCCGTCAAGAAGGTCAGCGGCGACCCCCCCCCCCGCTGCCCGCCCCCCCTCCCCCTAGCAACGCCCCCCTTAGCAACGCCCCCCCTCACCCCCACCTCGGGTGGGCCCGGCAGCCGGTCAGAGGGGGGGAGCGGGGGGGGCGCTCCCCCTCCCTCTGGCCCCCAGACCCCCTCAGACTCGGGGGAGCGAGGGGGGGTCCCCAGGCCCCTCTGTGAAAACCGGCCTGACAGGGTAGGCCTTTCCACAGGACAGGAGGAGGAGGGACCTCTTGTTCCCGTTTTTACAGGGAAAATCCAGCCTATCGTTTAAGAATTAGTCAGCCAAATATCACAGGGAGGTTTTCATCTTCATCAGCATATTATTACTATTATTATTATTATTATTATTATTATTATTATTATTATTATTATTA